GCTGCCTTTGAATCTTGCGACCTGAAGCCTTTGTTAAACGAATCTTGCGGTCATGAAAGCTTTCAAATATTTGATTGAGGAACTTGAAAGCGATTAATAAAACTATATAGCTTTAACTCGTGAGCTTGAGCCCATGCTATTTGCTACAAATGAATGCAGTTGGTAGCTACATTGTACAAAAGGCATTGAAATTGTCTCCAAATCTCTGTCTCCACAGGCAAAGGCACAGTTTAAGCGTCGCAGCACAGCTAATCAGGTGGAGATCCGTATTCCCGTGCCTAGCGATGTGGACTCCCCGCGCTTTAAAACCACCGTTGGTACTTGCAAGTACATTCCAGAGGAGAATTTGGTCATGTGGAGTATCAAGAGTTTTCCCGGCGGGAAGGAGTACATTATGCGCGCCAGCTTTGGCCTCCCCTCAGTGGAGGGCGACACTACTGCCGAGTCTCGGCCCCCCATCTCGGTACGCTTCGAGATTCCCTACTTCACTGTCTCTGGTCTACAGGTACGTCTATTCAACCCTGTTTACTCGCCCATTGTTGTTCTGCAGGTTTTTACCAAATCCCATTCATAATAACCTGTTATCGTGGCACTTTTTTCTGCTCCCCATTCATTCACTTAACTATTCTCTCATCTTATCTGTGTATCACGTCCATAATCTAATCTCTTTCAAGCTGTTTCTCCACGTGTCAGTCTCTTGTCAACGTTAGGAATTGTGCATTTGGTTTGTTAATTGTTGCCACACCTTTATCCTCGTTTGCATGCTTCGTCGGCCATTCGTCTCCTGCAGACTTGTTTGCTATTTTGCATAGTTTTAGCTTTCTCTTATCTCCTTATTGGCTTACTCCCCACCTTCAATTGTTGACTGCCATATATTCGGATGACTTGTCAAATGCTCCTTTTGGTGACGTCTAACGAGTGCCTCACAACATAGTGCATTGAAATCCAAACCGATTGTAAGGTCAGCCACTAAAGAAATTAACCTTGCCTGCACGTTTAA